CTGTGTGATAATAGTTTTTCAGTGAAGCTATGTGAATTCCCATTGTATGTTAGAAGCAAAGAATATTATCAATTTTGATAATAGATAAGCCTAACTTTGAAATACTTAGATTATTAATTTACTTATATCAAAATAATCAAATCAATCATATTTTTAATTTATCAATAAAATTATGAAAATATGATTTATATTTTTACTTAAATAATTATGTGATATCTTAAATTTTGACTCTTGTCTAATGGATTCTAAAATGTTTATGAACTGGACATTTTCAGAAAATATTCATGGCTGGTTGCTTTATGCCAATAAGATTTCAGTGCTGAGGTATATCTAATCACGCTAGTACTAGAAAGTTTCTTGAAAGATGAATTAAAATTTGATTTATAGTTACGTCTCCCATATTGACTGATCACAGAAGGCACCAAATATTTGTTAAATAGGTGAATTAAAGAACGAAACAATTTTAATTCTCCAAATTTAAACATAATAAACATTTTAAATTTTTGATTATTTTGCTATTTTTGTTATTCATTCTCTCTAGGAATATATTTCCATGGAGGTTATAAACAGGCCAATTGTACAAGAAAAAGAAATAAGTGTAAGATTGAAAAGGAAGAATTAAAACTTCTTTAAATTTTAAAGAATCTTTTAAACAAAGGGAGACCAAGGGGTTACAAACTGGAAAGGAAAAAGTCAAACTTTCACTATTAGCAGCTGACATGACATTAGCCCTCCTATACACAAATGACAAGTGGGCTGAGAAAGAAATCAGAGAATCATCACCTTTTACAACAGCCACAGATAATATAAAATACCTTAGGGTAGCTCTAACCAAACAACTGTACAATGGAAAAAAGAAAGCATCTTCAACAAATGGTGCTGGCATAACTGGATGTCAACATGTAGAAGATTACAAATAGACCCATTTTTATTGCCATGCACAGAACTCAAATCCAAGTAGATCAAAAACCTCAAAATAAACAGATACAAGGGGCAATGGGTGATAGTAGTCTATGCTGGCTAGGTCAGATTAAAACAAATTCAAGGTTTCAAATCTGAGGGAGCATATTCAGAGTGGCAGAACCCTTTCTCTTAGTAAAATCTTCAACTTCCAGATACTTTAATCCTTATACATATTCTTGCATCTTATAATCTACTTCTAACAGATCAATTAATGGGTAAAATGAGCTTCTGAGAAAAGCACACACCTTTCCTGTAAGTGCCTATTCTGGGTGAGGTACAAGGGAAGGGCTTACTGTAAGAAGGGAAATATAAACTCCAAAAAAGTGAAAGACCTGTCTGACAAGAACTTAAATCCTTGAAGAAAAAAACTGAAGAAGATATCAGAAAATGGAAAGACCTCCCATGCTCATGGATAGGTAGAACCAACATAATAAAAATGGTAATATTACCAAAAGCAATATACAGATACCATGCAATGCCCATCAAAATCCCAACATAATTCTTCACAGACCTGGAAAGAACAATGCTCAACTTCATATGGAAAAACATAAAACCTAGGATATCTAAAACAATTCTTTACAATAAAGCAGCTTCTGGAGGCATCACCATCCCTGACTTCAAGTTCTACTTTAGATCTATAGTAATAATAGTATAATAATAATAATAATAATAATAATAATAATAATAATAACAACAACAACAGTTTGGCACTGGCATAAAAACTGACATATGAACCAATGGAATCAAACTGAAGATCCTGATATTTATCCACACACTTTATGATACCTTATTTTTGACAAAGAAGCCAAAACTGTACATTTAAATTAGTGTTACAAGATAAAAATATCAGTATACAAAATTAATTCTGTTTCAACATAGCAATGAACATTTTGAGTGTTCATTTGAGTTACAAAAACTATTCCATTTAATCTATCTTTGAGCATAAAATATTTGGAAATAAATTTAATAAGGAAGTGTTAGGACCTATTTAGCAAACACTACAAAAATTATTGAAATAAATGACATAAGATATACATAAGTGGGAAGATCTGCCTTGTTCAAATGGATTTGAAAATTAATTGTGTTATAACAGAAAAAAAGTCAAAGCTTATCAACTGATTCAATGTATTGTAATTACTCTCTTTTTATTTGAATGGAAGGCCTTAAAATACACATGTAGATACAAGGGATACAGAGTAGTAAAGAAAATCCATAAAAAAGAAACAAAATGTTTGATTAATACTTAAATTTACCATGACAGGGTTGTAAACCACTATAATTCCAACTCTCAAGAGAATGAGGTGGGAGAATCACTTATCATTATGTTAGGTAAGGAGTTAGTTCTGGTAGATACTGACAATTAGGTGCCCAAAGGTAGTACATAAAGAACAATATGTGGGCAAGCTTAGGTGTTGAAATAAGATATAAATATTATGGCAAAGGTCACGGTCAATTGGAGTTCAAAATATAGACAGTGAGAGCTAACTCCAGATAGGCCAGCTGAGGGTCATAAAAACAGATATAAGGGGCAATGGGTGATAATAGTTTATGCTGGCTAGGTCGAATTAAAACAAGTTCAAAATTTCAAATCTGGGGGAGCATATTCAGAGTGCCAGTACCCTTTCACTTTGTAAAATCTTCAACTTTCAGGATACTTAAATCCCTATACATGTTCTTGCATCTTATAATCGACTTGTAATATATCAAATAATGGGTAAAATGAGATTCTGAGAAAAGCACACCCTTTCCTACAAGTGCTTGTCTTGGGTGAGGTACAAGGGAAGGGCTTACAGTTAAGAAGGGAAATACAAATTCCCTTCCTGCCTGACCAAGGCTTTTACTGTTTGGTCCACTCTTTTTCTGTGGAATAGATTCTTCCTTTCTTGCTTGCACTATCTAATCTCTCAGCTGATTATTTTATTATTGTGTCTTCTGTGAATTCTCTCTAGAGAGCATATGAATAAGTCTGCTGCTGGTGTTGAGACTAGAAGAAACTGGAGACATCCTTTATGTCTCTGTCATTCTAGATTTTTGGAAGTTGTTTACAATGCATTTCCTGTTTACTTAGGTAATATTATATTCTTCTGAGGTCTTTGATGTAGTTGAAAAATAGTTATAATTTTCCTTGGTTATGATAAAAGATAAATTAGATATGAAACTTTAGACTCACAAATATAGGATAGATAGAATATTTACTTCAGTTTTGCCAAATACAAATAGACTATATATTGTAATTGTGATTCTTGCTTGATAACTGTTCTATTATATGTAATTTTATTATGTTAAAATTAAAACTTTCCTTTTTGATTAGACAGAAAAGGGTAAGTGCCTTTCTGTATGCTGTGAATATGTGTTGCCCTCATTGATTGATAAATACAATGCTGATTGGCAAGTAGGTAAGCAGGAAGCAGGAAGTATGAGCAGGATAAACAGACAAAGAGAATTCTGGGAAGGGGAAGGCTGATACAGGAGTCGCCAGCCAGACACAGAGGAAGCAAGATGGCAAGGCAGAATTGAGAAAAGGTACTAAGTCACGTGGCTAAACATAAGAATTATGGATTGATTTAAGTGTAAGAGGTAGTCAGTAATAAGCCTGAGGTAATGGCCATACAGTTCATAATTAATGTAAGCCTCTGTAAGTTTACTTGGGTCTGAGGGACTGCAGACTGGGCAGGACACAAAAAAAACTTCAAAATACACCCTTATTCCCTTATCTTCCGGTTTCATGACTTGGGTCAATTTTCTTTAGTAATAAGGAAAATCAAATTGGGCTCCTCCTCTGGCTGAGACCACTATGTCTCCTCTCCTTTCCTCCATGCTCCATTCTTCTTTTTCCTTTTCCTCTTCTCTCTACCTCAGTATTCTGCTTGCTCTGCGTTTTCTCACTATTCTTACAAGTGTATTGCAGTTTGTTTTATCTGATATAATACACCTGTTTCCATATCTTTCTCTGGCATGAACACACTTCTTTGTGATTTCTTTTTTTTTCTGCTAATATTTATAACCCCTAACTTAATGTTTACTGCAAGTATATCTGCTGCATTTCTTACTTTGACCTGAGAAATTAAGGACTGCTTCTTTTGGTTGTTGCTTGAATGACATCCACTGAGAATCTAAAATTAAGCCAAACTTTGCCTTCTTTTACTCTAGATGAAACCCTTTAGTTTCTTCACTCATGTATTGAGGGGATGTTGTGCGTCCCCCAAACAAATCATTTTCCAAGTGGCCTTAATTACATATAGAAGTTCTAGGATTTCTTGGAGTGTGGTTATGATACATTTATTCTCAGGTCTGTAGGATGGCAAATACAAAAACCAAGAGTTCCTTCTTTAATAACTTTTAAATAATTGTCCTCTCTATTTTCACTGTCTATCTACAAAAAACTTTAATTTTAATTAATTGATTTATTTTTATTTTCTATTTTATCTTTATTTAATATTGACCCTTGTGTATGAGAAGTCATGGAGATAATTTGAGGCACATATTGATGTTATCTTCCTTTAGAGAGAATTTACTTTTGATTTTATTCAATACAGAGGCAGATCAGCTTAATACAATCAATGATAACACTGATTAAAAGCTGATCTTTGATATTGTTATCAGTAAGTTCTTTTATGATTTATCAAACATGTTGCCTATTACTGCTCCCATCTAGAAGCTTGGATAGACAACAATATCCATTTTTCACATAGTTATATAAGACTAATGAAATCTCTGGTCAAACCTTAGGTTCTCCTCAAACAGTTTCTTCTCTGACTCAGTTACTTGGCATCTCATTTGGAATGGATAAATACCTTATAAAATCAAAAGAACACCAATTCTGATAAAATGGGATAGGGATTTGAGGTGGAAACTCAACTGAGTCACTGAATATTCTATATAATTATAACAAAATATAGACCTGCATCTCGGTGTTGAAACATGAGGGTAAGAAAAAGAAAGATATTATGGGTGTTAGTGAAGATAAATGTACTGGACTTGATAAATAAATGCATAGGAATATGAATGGAGAACAGCACAACAAAAGTATGTCTTACCTGTTCAGAGAAATGTTTCAGTAATGTGATATGTTTAATGAGATGATTTTTCAGACTGGAAAATTCTGACATGCAATCAAATGGTGGCCTGCCAGGGAAGGGCGACAAAGAGAATCCATCAATCTGAGTGTCTTTGAATACAGTATCTTTATTCCTCAAGAAATTGAAACTTGTAATTTAAAATACAGAGCATTTTAGATAAAAAGTGAAAATAGCTAAATTCTAGAACATTACAGTATATCAAGCATTTTACAAATTTAAGTAGACACTAATAAATGTGATATTTCTATGGTCTAAAAGGGGGGGAATGGTAAAAACACAATTTGTTATAATTACTCCCATGTTCAAATTGTTGTAAAAAGAAAGTTAAATTTTGAGAAGGTTTATCTCCTAATATTTCCTTTCTCTTGACTTACTATACAAATGATTGATTATATAAAATAATGAAAGGAAGAAAGGGTCAAATAAAAATTAACTATCCACAAGTAGATAATCTGAAAATAAAAAAAAGATTTTATTTGGCATTCATTTTTTATGTAAATGAAAAAAGTATTTGAGATAAATAAATATATGCTCGCTAAACAAAAAGTTTGAGTCTTTCTACTTATATCCAACATAGCATTTAACCTTCTCCTATTGGGAGGCCTGTATGAGATAAAAAAAGAAAAACAGAGTTTTGTAGGGAAATTATTTTCTACTTCATTTGAATAATACCTATAAGGTGAGATATAACTCAGTGGTAGAGTGTTTCCTTTGCACATGTAAGGCCTTGTATTCAAAATTTTTGCAATAAATATCTTTTAAAAATGGACAATAATTTTTAGGTTGTCCCTGTAAAACAAATCAGAAAGCAATATAGTGCTGAATGTGTATATATTCCCACCATGGAACTTAAAATTTTCTTTTGACGTTTTTATCCATAGATATTTTGATATACAAATATTATAGTTGAAAATATTTAATCAGTCTTGAGTTTAACAAAATACATAGTTCAACATAAATCCCTCTTATTCAGTAATCATTAGTCATTAAGACTGAGTCTAAGAATCAGAAATACTATAAAAACTTTAATATTTTCAGTTAGAATAAAGACAAAACTAAGATGATTTACTATATTTGAAAAATGTATGTTAGACGAGGTCATTTTCTATATATCATTTGTGTGAAATAGAGGTGGAACCAGACAAGACCCTTCTAATGTTATCTGATTCCACTGATGAGAGTAAATAAGCCCTTAATATGGGAAATTCAGTGAAAAAAACAAGTGTAAGTTTTAATACCAATATTATGATGCGAACTTTGCAATCTGACTACTTCAACGAAATGAGCAAATCAAATAAAATGAATTATCAAATGTTAATTTAACATATTATAAACATTTGATAGGTCTTTTTTATATTACTCCATTTTATGGCTTTCTTTACTTCATGGTCCATATAATTCTCTCTAAATTCAACCTATTGCAGAATATTTACTTTTGAGTATGTCTCCTATGTTTGCTTTCTTTCAGTTGTTTTACAGATAGTTTATAATAAGATCAAATGTAAAGAGAGTAAAGGAACTGCTGAGTTTGTCAAATTTCCTATGATACTATTTAAAATTTCCTTGAAACACTGGGAAAATATTATCTTCATTACTTATGTATGTGAATAAGTTTGATTTTCAATCAAATATTAATTGCAAAAGAGAAATTATTCATCAAGGGGACATGTAATATAAAGGTGTAGTTTGTTAATCAAAACACAAAATCCTTTTTCTATGTCTCTCCCTTCTAATTTACCTGAAAAATATAATACTTAATGGAAGCAAATGGCATATGAATTTGCCAGATGACTCATTTGTACATAGAACAGATAATTGATTATAGTTGTTGGTCAAAACATAAAGCATAGAAATCTACACACTAATATTGTTAACTAAATGTTACTAACAAAACAGAATTATGAATCATTAGTTTATTTCACTAATCTTTTCTTATTAACACAGGCTTTTAGAAACAGGACTAACTCATAATTGAATACACAAAAAAAGAATTTTTTTGCTGTAAAAATGCCAGATATGATCCCATACTAGTTTGGTGTAACTTAATCTATAAAGAGAACAAGGGGGGAATCCTCATTTATTTATTCATTTATTTTGTTTTTTTGAGACAGGATTTCTTTGTGTAATTTTGATGCCTGTCCTGGATCTCGCTCTGTAGACCAGGCTGGCACTGAACTCACAGAGATACAATTGTCTCTGCCTCCCCAGTGCTGGGATTAGAGGCACGTGCCACCACCACCTGGCAGAATCCTCATTTAAAAATACATTTTTTTGTTGAATGAATTATAAAAGTCAGATGGTAAAAAAAAATCTTGATTTAAAGGGAACCATGTAACTATCTCATACATCCTAAGGAGATAATCATGGCATCAATAACATATCTGTAAACATATTTGAAAAAAAGCATGAAAATACAATTCATTCCACACTTAAGATTTCTGAGAGGAAATGAAGGGGAAAATACAACTGTGTCATGGGTTTAAATATCAGATATTAGGAATTACCTTTCCAGAATGTTTAATATCATGTTGACAGTGTTAACCAGTTCAAGGGTAGCTGTAAGAACGCTATGAGTTGGCTGTTCATTAGTGCCATGTAGACTACGTGCCAGTCTTCTTTCCGATATTGTGGCAAGAACACGATCAATAGCATGATCAAGTTGTTCCCTTTCTTTTCCAAATCTGGTAGGCATCTTTTTGATATTCTGAAATTAAAGTGGGAGTTTGGGTGCAAGAAATGAAGAAGTATTTTCTACAACACTATAAAAATGGATTAGGTCCAATATCAACATCATTTTGCCAAAATAATATATGAAAGATGCAAAATTATCATCATGCACTTTTCATTCTTTAGACATTTTTCTATTAATAGTCCCATCACCCATGGCAGTCATCAAAAAAAAAAAGAGAATGAATGCAATAATGTTTTAGAATGTGACAAAAATTAAACTACAATTAATACTTACTATTTCTTATACTGTTTTAGTATACATAATTCACAACCTGATAATGCATAATCTGTTGAGGGAATAGGCTATACAACACTATTTTATACTTAGATTTGGTACAGATCTAAGATATAGGAAAGGGGATACTTAATTTCCATTTATTTTTAAAGCACTAGTAATTCTGTGTAGAATATTATAAGAATTGATAATTTAAATATCCACAGACTAAAAGATTCTTAATTGGGTTTTGGTACTTACATTTATCAAATAAATGATTTGCATTAACATGTATACATACACTGTAATTCATCATATTTTTATCCAGAGCCTCATCAAATAGCTATCAAAAATAAGCAGAGAGTTAAAATAATGGCTCCACATGGACTCTACTTTAGGAAACATAACTCTAATTTCCATACATAATGTCCAAGGAATAATAAGTGTTTTATTAAGTGCTGAGATGATCTGTTTAAAAAGAATTTCCCTTTCAGTCTTAGAAAGTCTGGGGATGAGGGATTTTTATTATTTAAGAAACAAGTTTATGAGGCATTTGGTTCTTGGTCCAATATCAATTATATGCAGTTCATAATTGCATGATCTCTATGAAGCCAAATAATCATGTACAAATATCTTCAATTATTGAACTGACTAAACATTTCATCTATTATGTGACACATTCAAATTTTCACTTTCAGCAGTCCAATTTAATATCATACTGTCACTTTTAAAATTCATCTTATACATTTCAAATATTTAAGCATTATCTCTCATACAAATAAGTTTCATCTATATAAGCACATTGATAAAATATGATATGATTGGAGCATATTTTTCTATCTCTCAAAGGTATTTGCAATATGAAAAAGAATGTATTAGAAACTTAGGAATCTATTCTTCTCCTCTACAGATGTCATAATGAAATTTTCCATCAATATGAATTTTCCAGATGTCAAGCATTAGCATGTATTTCCTTCCACCTGTACTTCCTTAATTAATTTCTGCTACTCTAAACTTGATCAAAAGCCTATGCCTGGCCAGGCAGTGGTGGCACACATCTTTAATCCCAACACTCGAGGGGCAGAGGCAGGTGGATCTTTCTGAGTTTGAGGTCAGCCTGTCTACAAAGTGAGTTCCAGGACAGCCAGGGCTGTTACACAGAGAAACCCTGTTTTGAAAAACAAAAACAAAAACAAATGGCTATGCCTGAGGAGGCCATAGGTCATAGGCAGAAATCTGATTTATCTAATCTACACATTAACTACATTCTAAATATTTATGTTTATGTCTATAGACTAGTGCTGCTCTCAGCCTTACTCAGAGAAGCCTCTTGTTGGAGTGGTTGGTTGGTTATTAATATAGAGAGCCAGAACTGGTCAATGCACTGAAAAAGTGAGAATAAATGACTGTTGGCTGCTCAGATGCAGACAAGACACTATTCTCCTTTTACATGAAACTATCTTTTTTCCTCCTTTCATATTTATTGTTTGTCTTCTGTTTACTTTTATCTTGTCTTGTTTTTTTTGCCATTGATCTAATACTAACTACTAATCCTATACTTCTTATTTCCTTTTAATTCATACCTTAATAACTATTATTTCAGGAGAGTATTTCTAAAACACAGTTTCTCTGTGTAGTCCTAGCTGTCCTGGAACTCACTTTGTAGACCAGGCTGTCGTGGAACTCACAGAGATCCTCCTGCCTCTGCCAGGATTAAAGGTGTGCACTACCACCACCTGGAATAAGTATTATCTTAATACACCTCATATCATCTGTGTTCTTCCATCCTCCTAAAGTCATTCAAGTTCAAATGGCATTGTTTAAAATCATAACAACCTAGAAGCCCTTCAACCAAAGAATGGATAAAGAAAATATGATACATATTCACAATGGAGTATTACTCAGCTGTATAAAACAATGACATCCTGAAATTTGTAGGCAAATGGATGGAACTAAAAAATGTCATACTGAGTGAGGTAACCCAGACTCAGAAGAACAAACATAGTATGTACTCACTCATAAGTGGATACTAGAAGTAAAGCAAAGGATAACAAGACTACAACCCAGAGCTCTAGAGAAGCTAGGAAACAAGGAGGACCCTAAGAAGGACACAGAGATCACCTTGGGAAGGGAAACAGAGGAGATCTCCATGAGTAAATGGGAGATGGGGGAGAAATAAAGTGGAGGTGATGGGGTTTGAGAACATGAGGGAATGGGATGGTCGTGCTGGGGGAGGTGTTGGACTCCAAAGGTTTAGGGTCTCAAGTGGGTGCCCCAAGAACCCAGACTCCAGTCCAGTTGATGCAACAGCACGAGGTTTTTATTGAAGCGACTGTACAGACGGGCAACTCTGCTCCTAAGAGCAAGAGCTGCATCTTATTGCAGCCCCATTGGGGCTTTTAAAGGAAAAAAAAACACAAAAACCATAAGATTACAATTCCCATACAATTTCGTTTCACAAGATCATGGTCTGATCACAGAGTGGGTACAGTCATGTTCGCATGTACATTCTTCCTGAAACCTCAAGGGGGGTATCAGGGCAGGAGTGGAGTTTACACAAAGGTCACAGTGGTCCTTCCTGGAACACTTGCAACTATCCCAGTCACAATTGAGCACATCTCTTAACAGAAATCTTTTTACATTGTTACATTGTAACAGGTTGAATAATGGCTGAGTCAGGTGGCCCTTGGAACTAGTTTTCTCTTTAGTTCCTTATTTCCTGGGGCTTGGGGGTGTAAGCCTGAAGGGTTAGGGTCTTTCAGAGGGATGGAGTGGGAGGGAAATGAAAGAGATATCTTGATAGAGGGAGACATTATGGGGTAAGTGAGAAACCTGATGCTAGGGAAATTCCCAGGAATTCACAAGAAGGACTCCAGATTAGACTACTAGCAATAGTGGAGAGGGTGCCTGAACTGGCCTACCCTGGTAATCAGATTGGTGAATACCCTAACTGTCATTACAGAGCCTTCATCCAGTAACTGATGGAAGCAGATGCAGAGATCCACAGCCAAGCACCAGGCAGAGCTCAGGGAGTCCAGTCATAGGAACTCACAAACTTTAGACCAACAGCTGTGGAGCCTCCATGGGACTGGACTAGGCCCTCTGCATACAGGAGACCACTGTGTAGCTTGGTCTGTTTGAGGGGCCCATTTGCCATTGGATAAAAATCAATCCCTGGTGCATGAGCTGGCTTTCTAGAGCCCCTTACCTATGGTGGGACGCCTTGCTCAACCTTGATGCAGCACCTGCTTGAGGGGCTTGGTCCTGCCTCAACTGAATGTACCAGGCTTTGCTGGCTCCCCATGACTCTTTTGGAGATGGGAGTGTGTTGGGGGGGAGAGGCTGGGGAGGGAGCAGAAGGAGGGGTGAGAGGGGGATCTGTGGTTGGTATTAAAAATAAAAATTTTGAAATATAAAAGATCGGAAAAAATGATTTAGTTATACTAAAGCAATCAAACAACAGGAATTGATACAAAATTGTCAATAATACCTCTTCATGTAATGGTTTCAATTTTCCAATTTAAAAAGTCAGAATACGAGATAGGGTAGGTGGATTAACGGAAGAGATGAAACATGATCAAAATCAATTTTGAATTAATGAAAATATTATTTAAAAAGAAAACAACTGACAACAAATGCTGAGAAGAATTCGGAGAAAGGGGAATCCTCATTCACTGTTGGTGGGATTGCAAACTGGTACAGCCACTATGATATTGGAGTGGAGAACTTTCAAAGGGGCTAAAAGTAGATCTACCACGTAATCCAGCTAATACCCTTCACAAATACCCAAAGGACTTGGTATCCTAAGTAGATACTTGCCTAGTCATATTCATTGCCACTCTTTTCTTAATAACTCTGAAATGGAATCAACTTAAATGTTTTTCAGCTGATGAATAGATAATCAAAATGTGGTACATATACCTAAAAAAACACTATCTAGTTGTACAGAAAAATGAAATCAGGAAATTTTCAGGTGAATACATGGAACTAAGAAAATACTGTACTGAGTTAACCCAGATCTAGAAAACAAAACTCCACATTCTATTTTATTTGTAGAGACTCACTCTCAATCTTTAGATTTGAGTATATAACCTAGAGCAACAACAGAAGCCAGAAAGTAGAAAGGAACAATGGTGCAGTAGGAAAGAAGAAGCTCCATAGATTGGTATAGTTCTATGAAAGGGGAAATGAGATAATCTGGGCAGGGACTTTAACCTGTGGGAAAACTTGTACATTGGGAAAAAAGATAAGTAACAGTAAGGATGTTTTAAAGAGTCATAGGGAGACATTATTTTATATTTACTTAAAATACGTAATATATGTGTGTGCATATATACATGTGGTGATACTTTATTTGTGCTCTAACAAATGAAGCTTGCCTGGGGATAAAAGGAAAAAGTCAGCCACTATATTAAACATAGAGGTCAGGCATTGGTAGCACACATCTTTAATCCTTGTATTAGGAAGGCAGAGATTCATCAGTATCTCTGTGAGTTCAAGGCCACACTGGGAAAAGAGCCAGGTGTGGTGGCACACATCTTTAATCCCAGCACTAGTTAAACATAGAGGTCTGGAAGTGTGTACAGACAGACAGAAAGTGATAGAGCTGGGCAGAGAGAGGAAATAAGATGGCAGGGCACAGAAAGGTATATAAGGCGTGAGAATACAGGAAGTAGTTTTCTTGGGCTGAGGATTTCCTAGTGGTAAGAACTTGTGGCTGGCTTGTTCTGTTCCTCTGATCTTTCATCTTTCACCCCAAT